GACAGAGTCTCACTCTGTTGCCCAGGCTGGAGTGCCATGGCATCAGCCTAGCTCACAGCAACCTCAAACTCCTGGGCTGAAAGATCCTCCTGCCTCAGCCTCTGGAGTAGCTGGGACTACAGGTGTGCACCACCAGACCCAGCTAATTTTTTCTATTTTTAGTAGAGACAGGGTCTCACTCTAGCTCAGGCTAGTCTCGAACTCCTGAACTCAAGCAATCCTCCCACTCAGACTCCCAGAGTGCTAGGATTATAGATGTGAGCCAGCACGCCTGGCCATGTTTTTAGTTCAGCCTTTGGCATGATCACTTCTGTCTACCACCTTGAAGAACGATGAGGTATTAAACAGGAAAAAAATTTTTAAATTAGGAGTTGCTTTGAAAGATGAAGCAGATACACTCTTCTTCCCATACAAATTAAGGCAGGGACATTAAAAATGCAACTTTGGTTTAAAAAATTTTTCACAAGAGAGTAACAGTAAGAAAGCAAAAGAAAAGGAGATCATACTGCTCAAAATGATTATGTGATCCTAACAATTTTTAAACTTCCGAATAGAAATTTCAGGACAATGGAACTATATTTAATTTGTTTCACATAGATGTTTAAGACTCAGAAATACAAAAATAATGATTAAATCCCTAGGGCCTGAAAACTCCCTCTAAACAGCACCTAAAAGCACTGGTTAACATAAGGGCAACCATGAGGAGCCAGCAGTAAAAAGGAAGCTAAACACTATGGTGGTAAACTGAGCTGAGACCTGGCCTGCCTTGTGGGGTATTTTCAGATCTTAGTAAACAGGGGGGCCAAGCCTTGGGTACCGTGCAAGGGAGAGACTGAGAGCCGAGACCGAGCATGAAGTCAGGATACCCTTAAAGGCCAAAGAAGAGGCAAAGAAGCTTCCTTTCTGATAACTATAATCCACAGGCCTGCCTGATGAGAGTTTCAGGTGCTCATTACACTACCTTAAGGGTCTGAGGAACCCCACGGTGAGAAATTAACAAATAACAGGAAAAAACTCTAATCTGACAAAAGCACATGCAAAACCTCTCAGAAGGAATCCACTCTCAACCCTGGCTAACCTCGGAATTCAAAATTACCAAATATGTAAGAAAATAACCATGAGTCTGTAGAAATAAAAGGCAGCAGAATTAGACCCCAAAGAATGTAAGATACTGAAATTATTAAATACAGACTACAAATTATGTTTAAAATGATAAAGGATAATAAAATAGGATAGAAAGCATGACAAAGTAAGAAATAACAAAAAAGTTCTAGCATATTTAAAAAAGAAATAAGTAGAACTTCTAAAATGGAAAAATCAATTCATTGAAAATAGAAATTGAAAAGATAGCTTATATAACGGATTAGACACAAGTTTAAGAGAGAACTAAAGAATTAAAAACTAAATATGAAGAAAATTTTCCAGAATGAAACACAAACAGTAGAAGAAATGAAAAAACTTGAGAGATTAAGAGACAAGAAGACAGAATGAGATGTTCCAACAAAACCAAGAAAACAGAAGTGGCAATATTTGAAGAAATTATGTAAGATGTGAGTCTTGAGATTCAGGGAATATAAATGAACCCCAAGGAAAGAAATAAAAACAAATCCTCAGGTAGACAGACATACCACAGAGAATGTACAGAATATCGAAGACAAAAAGCAGCCAGAGGAAAAAAGGCTAATTAGCCACAAAGATATGACAAGACTGACAGAAAACATTCCCCACCCCAACCTTCCCAAGAGCTAAAATAGAACCATAGAAACAGCAGAATATTACCTAAAAGTATTGAGTGAACATAACTCTGCACATAGAAATTCATAGCTGGTTAAAGCTGTCATGTAAGAACAAGGACTAAATGAAGATATTTTCATACAAAAATCATAAGGACTCTACCACCAATAGACCCACACTGAAAGCACTTCTAAAGGATGTATGGCAGAAACAATGTAACTGAACCTACAAGAAAGGAGTGGTAACCAATTTAACTGGTTAACATGCACATACAACTAAATTTAAAAAATATATAATACTGATCATTAATTTGAGGGGTAAAAACGATATAAGGTGAATAGAAATAAAGTATTATGAAACATTTAGGGGTGTGTGGTTTGCATCAAGTTAGTCTAAGGTTCTTGTGTTGTTCAAGAGGGCAGAAATACTAATTAATCTTAGACTTTGTTGAGTCAAATATGTATAATAAATTTCTAAGGATAACTGCTACAGGAATACAAGTAGATGATATAACTTCCAAACCAGTAAAAAAGGAAAAAATAAAAGAAAAAATCCTCAGTACAAGAAAAGCACCCAAAACACCCGAATACATCTAAGTGTACAAGAATGTTCACTGAGTATTGTTTGTAATGATGTCAGTTTTGACACAGCCTAAACTTCCATCATACGGAAAACAGATGAATAAATTGTTATATTCAAATAATTATATACCAACTAGCAATGAAAAGTTATGTATCTATCAACCTGGGATAAATTTCACAAACATAATATAAGGAAAACAAAAAAAAAGCAAGTTGCAGGACACATACAATACGACATCATTTATATTAAGTTTAAAAACATGGCCGGGCGCGGTGGCTCACGCCTGTAATCCTAGCACTCTAGGAGGCCAGGAGGCAGGTGGATTGTTTGAGCTCAGTAGTTCGAGATCAGCCTGAGCAAGAACAAGAGTCTCTACAAAAAATAGAAAAGTTAGCCAGTATAGTGGTACGTGCCTGGTGTAGTGGT